TGAGTTACTTGTTCATACTTTCTGTCCCCTTATCACTTTTCTATTGTAATGAAAAAGTGGATTTTTTTAATGTGTCCTGAGTGGTAATTCATGGTTAAATTATAGAGATTGAACCATATGCATATCTTATCAAATTATTGCATGCTTTTTTTAAAAAAAAGAATGACTTTATAAATGATTATTTAATGAAGTCATTTGATTTTTCTATAATTTAATGTATTTTGTTATTTAGGAACTTTTGGGGGCCAGTACAGTGGCAGCATGCTAATCCTCCCCGCTGGTGTGGGGCCCAAATGCTATAGCCATCTTCCTCTGCTCTGCCAGGCGCATTAGCAGGGAGCTGGACTAGAAAATAGCTGGCCCCCTTTTTTTAACTTTTTATTTTGAAATTGCTTTACATCTTAGAAGGAAAGTAATAAAGGTAAGACCTGAATGTCCATATATCCCTCTTCTTGGTACTTTAACATTTACAACAATTACTGTCTCCTATATGGTTAACCATGTTGAATTGTTGTTGTCTTTTGGTTTTGGGGGGCTTTTTGCTTTGTCCAAAATAGTATCAAACTTAAAGTCAGTACAGGAAAATAATAGGAAATCCTGATTGAAAGTAAATTTTAGACATGAAGTTCGCATCTAATTACTTAATTAATTCCCCCTATTTTTTTTGCTTGTTTTTTCTCTTCCTATTTTTTAAAAATGTGTCAAAATTACCACAGTGAAATTAGTCAAAATTGGAAATTTAAGATTAGAATACTGTTATCTATAAACTTTGTTCAAATTTCAGTTGATCAAAAAATGCTCTTTAATATCAAGAGAAAAAAATTTTTTTTAGAAGATTTATTTATTTTTATTGCAAAGTCAGATATATAGAGAGGAGGAGAGACAGAGAGGAAGATCTTCCGTCTGATGATTCACTCCCTAAGTGAGTGCAATGGCCGGTGCTGTGCCAGGAGCCAGGAACTTCCTCCAGGTCTCCCACACCGGTGCAGGGTCCCAAAGCATTGGGTTGTCATTGAGTGCTTTCCCAGGCCACAAGCAGGGAGCCAGATGGGAAGTGGAGCTGCCGGGATTAGAACTGGTGCCCATATGGGATCCTGGCATGCTCAAGACGAGGACTTTAGCTGCTAGACCACACCTCCGGGCCCAAACTTCAAGAGAAAAAAAATCTTAATCGGAATCCAATATAGAATCATGAACTGCATTTATTTTCCATGTCTCTTAAAGGAAAAATGGATCTTTGCGGTGTATTTATCCCAATTTGGTTTTATCTGGTGCTTCTTCATGATTGGATTCAAGTTGCACATTTTACAAGAAGTACCATAGAAGTGATTTGTTTCTAGAATGTGTTTTGGTTTATTGTAAAGGGGTGGTAAAGGTGATTTCTGAGAACTTTGACGTTAGGCTGTCCAGGAGTTCTCTGTACCTGGTCTCTTTAGGGTGTCAGGGGTGTTTCATTATGCATGACTAATTGAGTCTTTGGTCCTCGTGATCCACTGAACCTTTGGCATGGTGCCCCACCCCAGAGGTGGCAGGTCAGATGGATGGGAGGTTAGCCTAAGCGTAAGGGACAACCAGTCTTTTAGTCGACTCATTAGAATAGGGAAATACACTGCTACTCTGCAGATTGCCTTACTTTTTAGGAGTTGTATACCAGAAAACAGGTTCAAACAACGATTATATTTTGTAAGAGACCTTTTCTAAGATATCCATTTAGAAATGCAAATTTATCTGCACTGCTTTAAATGTGACCTACAAACTTTTGCATTTTATGTTTTCAATTTCATTCCAATCAGTTTTTAAGATAATTTATATTTTTTAACCTTGATCCGTAGATTATCTAGAACTGTTAGTTTCTATGTAATTTGGAAGTTTTTCTGTTGTTGATTTCTAGTTTGATGGCATTGTTGTGGTTGGAGAATATACTTCATTACTTCAGGCATTTTGTGTTGTTAAAGTCTGACTTAGAATATATTGTACCTCAAAATAGTTGGATAGGCCCTTGAATTTGTATTCTTCTGTTCAGCAGAATAATTAATTGTGTTTTGAGCATGTCCTAGCTAGAGGCCTATTCATTGCTACTATTTTTAGTTAAATTAACTTTGATCATTTAGTTAAAGTAGTGTTTGTCAGATTTCTTCACTGGAAGTTAGCTTTTTCCTGTTTGTGGTTAGTGTGGTGTATTTCACAACAATGTAAATATCCTATTTAGTATCCATTGATACCTTGATCAATTATAACTATAATGTTTTCCAAATTACTTTCTCCCAAGTGGTCTTAGATTATAACTATAATGTTTTTCAAATTACTTTCAGAGTGTTTTGTTTGTTTGTTTGTTTGTTTTAATGTATGTGTATTCGCATTCCTGTAGATAAATTTTCTTTGGGGAAAAAAAAGTAGACTGTTTCTTTATATTAGATAAATGTCTGCTATCTGTAACTGTTGAGTCTTTCTGATGTACGTAATAGTTTTATGTTTTGCTGGTTTTGCTTACCCTTTATGAATGCTTTCTTCCCTTTGCCTTACTCAACTTGGAGTTTGATTACATGACTGAGCGGATTTGTTGACAGCTTACTGCAGGGGAAAGTTGTGTTTGCTGAATTTTTATAGTTATGTTCTTAGATTGAATAAATTCCCTTTTATTTCCAGTTTACTAAGAGATGTGTTGAGAATTGGTATTGTGACTTGTGTTCATAAAGTTCACATACTAACTCTTGTTTTTTGGAATAAACTCTACTTAGTTATAATGCTACTTTTACTAATATTTTATAGTTTTTTTATAATTATCTTGTGAATTTGATCAGTTAATTTCCTTCCATGAATTTCTGGGTTTGGGATCAAATATTATGAATTCAGGACTGTGGTTACAGCATAGCAGATTGAGCTGCCAACCATAGCCTGAAACATCAGTTCAGAAGCAGCTCCCTGCTAATGTAGCTGGGAAGGCAATAGAAGATAGCCCAAGTGCTTGGGTCTCTGTTGCCCAGTTCAGGGACACAGAGGTCCTGCTTCCGTCTGGCCCCGACCTGGCTTGTGGAAAAGCCTGGGAAAGCAATGGAAGATGGCCCACATGCTTGGATCCCTGCTACCCACATGGGAAACCTGACAGAAATGTTGAACTCCTTGCTTCAGCATGGTCCAGTCCTGGCTGTTGTGGCCAATTAGAGAGTGAACCCATGGATGGACAGTGTCTTCATTTCTGTGTTTTCCTCTTTCACTCTGCCTTTAAAATAAGTTTAATAAAAATCTCTAATTAGTAAGTGTGTGATTGGACTTAAGCATGCATATTATAAAATTGCTTTAACCATTTAAATGTGTCATTATACATCATTGGCATTTAGTATATTTACAAAGTTATATATGTACTGAAATCATTCATTTCCAGAACTTTTTCACCATCTGGGACAGAAATTATGCTTGTTAAATAGAAATTTTCTATTTCCCTCCTCCCTCTTGTCACCTCTGTTAAATTCTGTTCTACTCTACACAAATTTACCTATTCTAGGAACCTCAGACCTCATCTAGATGGAATCATACAATATTTGTCCTTTTGTGTCTTATTTTCTTAGGTATGTTTTCAGGGGTTATCCATAGTATACCAGCATATATCTGAACTTCATTTTCTTCCTTCCTTACTTCCCTTTTCTTTTCTTTTCTTTTTTTAAGATTTTGTTTTTATCTGAAAGGCAGAGTTCGAGAAGGAAGGGAAGCGGGAGAAAAAGAAAGCTTCCATCTGCGGTTCACTCTACCACAGAAGCTGCCAGATGGGAGCATGGAGCCAGGAGTGTCATCTAGGTTTCCCACATGGCTGCAAGCAGCCCTTGGTCCACCTTCCACTGCTTTTCTTAGGCCATTATTAGGGATCTGGGTAAGAAGTGGAGCAGCTGAAATTCAAAACTGCACCCATATGGGATACCATAGACAGAGGATTAGTGTGCTATACCATTGATTGATTTTTTTTATAAGGACATTAATCCCATTCTTGGCAGCTCTATCCTTGTGATTTAGTCAGCTTCATAGGATCCGACCTTTTAATACTGTAACCCTGAGGGTTGAGATTTCAACATGGGAATTTGGGAGAACATGAAAATTCAGACTATAGCATTAGCCATGTGGTAGATAGACTTTGTCTTTAGTTAATTCAAAAATCCAGAACCAGGTGTAAGGAGCGTCCCTGCTCTTTGTTCAGTGGGTTTCTTTGCTTTTCCTACCCACTTTGTTTGCAAGATCAGTGTTGCCCTTCAGGTCTTCTCTGTGTGTGTGTGTGTGTGTGTGTGTGTGTGTGTGTGTGTGTGTGTGTGTGTGTGTGTGTGTGTGTGTGTGTGTGTGTGTTTGTGGCTAGGACCCAAATCTAATCTCAAAGCCTAAATTGTAGTGCATTGTGTTTTTGTCATAATGACTGCAAGGCTTTGGAGCTTCATTTGTCTTTCCAGGTTTCTGTTTTGTAGTTTATAGCTATAGGGAGTTTCAGAGATCTAAAAACATATTCAGCTTGTAAATGAACATATTTGATTTTCTTATTTAGAGTTAGTTTTTCTGGTCTTAGAGTTAACTATGTTCCTGATAAAGAAGACCTTGCTTTGTTTCTCTTACATTACAAGGCAGAGATGATTGAATATAAGGAAAAGGCTACTGATCTGGTTATAGTACTCATGAATAAGACAAGCAAACTGTTTTGTAGCTACTAATTCGTAGAGTCAGTGAGCAAAGAGTGAGATTTAGGACTGATTTTTATGTATTTGATAGGTATTTATATGCCTTCCCACTATTCTATCTTGCTAAAGTAAACACTTTCCTATGACAGACACAAATATGAATGACTGTAAATTAGCAGCAGTACATTTTAATGTTTTTTCTCTCTAGAGGACATAAAATGCTTATCATAGTCACAAAGCAAGCAGTTTGAAAGAATATTAAATGATCAAAGAGGTTAGGAAATGCTCAAATTTGTTTTATATTGAACATCTCTATGATGAATACTTATTTGTTTGTTTTTATTCCAGCTTTGGCTAGATCAGAGTCAAAGAGAGATGGAGGTTTTAAAAGTAATTGGAGCTTTGATCATGAAGAAGAAAGTGAAGGAGATACAGATAAAGAGTAAGGATATTTTTTCCCTCAGATATTTTACTATAAGAATGAAAGTTTCAATTAGAAAAAGTTTATAAATGAAAATATTTTCAAGAATATGATCTTAAGAAAATAATCATTCTTTTCATAATTGCTAACTAATTTTGCCATCCATTTGAAATATATAAACATGCCCATGTCATACATGTAGCTTTATGGTTAAAAATTGACCTACAGTAGAATATTTCAAACTAAGGAAATTGTTCTTTAAAGAGGGGGAGACAGTCTGTTTCAGGGGGCAAATTGTAAGGCAGGCATTTCTGACTGCACCCAGTTTAAGACCCATTGAATTTGTATGACAGTGTATATGTCTTATAGCTCCCTTCTTTCCTAATTGTAACATACCACACTGTCTAGCTCAACATCCACTAGATCAGATTTTTTTCCAAGAAGGCAAACACTACTATACATGTTAAATACATTTTGTCCAGACAAATGTACTTGGAATCATACCTTATAAAAAGGGTAAGATTTTACTGTAACTTTTAGTAGAATTGTTGTAAAAAACTACACTGAAGATTTGCCTTGGTTATATTGTGGCTTTTATAGTGCTTGCTGCCTTGTGTATTATACTTAGGTTTGTACACTTTGATTTTTCATGTCTTCAGGGTTTCATGGTTTTCAACCTTTGAGATTAACATGTATAGTCAATAAAAGATTAGCCTGATATCAAACCAGTGATTCTTAATGAGGAGTTGATATTTCAAGAATGGAAGGAGTATAACTATTTTCTGTGGTGATGTCATTGTACTTATTATATTTTCATTAGCTAAGATTTCTTCACTAGTTATTTCTTTTTTGTTTTCTTTGTCCTTTTTCGCTGTTGAAAATATAAAGGGGAAATGAATGAGATTATATAAAATGTATAAATAAAGGAGATTGGATAATGATACCAAGATAATTAACTTAGAACAAATAAGCTCCAACATTGTATAGTGGGGCAATAATAGTTTACAACAATTTGTGATACATTTAATGAAAAGTTAGAAGAGAGTGGTAGGAAGCTCCCAACACACACACAAAATGATAAATATTTAAGAAGATGTGTATTCTGATAACAAATGGAATATATGTATTGAATTACTTCACTATACTTCATAAATATATAGTTACATGTCAGCTAAACAATTCATGAATTCATTTATGAGAGGGGTCAACAAATTATCGTTTATTGATTTTAATAGCTGTTCATTTCCACTTATTACATCCTTTTATGTATAGTTTATGGATGTTTTTACATTACAGTGGCAAAGATGAGTAGTTGCTACAGAAAGTCTGGTTAGTTTAAAATATTTATCATCTAACCCCTTACAGAAAGAGCTTACTGATTCTTTGGATTGGGTGAGCACAGAAGATGATTTTGAATTTAACACGTGGATTGTAATTATTACTTAAGTTTTTTCCCCCTTATTTTTTATGTAGTGGAATAAATCTACTCAGTGTAGATGAAGATGAGGATTCTGAAATCTCACAAGGAAAAAAGGCAAGTGTTGCTTTAAAATTTTTTTTCTGTTAAGCTATACACTTAAAAACTATTATCCCAAAAGAAAACTTAGGCTTTTTAATTGTAAGTCCCAGCCACCAACTTCCCCACTCCGAAGGTAAGCACTAATTTTAGACTTTTTTTTTAAAGATTTATTTTTATTATTATTTTTTTTATTGGAAAGGCGGATATACAGAGAGGAAAGACAGAGAGAAAGATCTTCCGTCCGATGATTCACTCCCCAAGTGAGCGAAACGGCCGATGCTATGCCGATCCGAAGCCAGGAGCCTCTTCCGGGTCTCCCACGCGGGTGCAGGTTCCCAAAGCTTTGGGCTGTCCTCGACTGCTTTCCCAGGCCACAGGCAGGGAGCTGGAAGGGAAGCGGGGCTGCTGGGATTAGAACCGGCGCCCATATGGGATCCCGGGTGTGCAAGGCGAGGACCTTTAACCACTGTGCCACTGCGCCGGGCCCTAATTTTAGACTTTTTAAACCCTTTCACTAATATTGTATGCTTTATGAAGAAGATATATTCCCAGCCCAACCCTTACACAGTTAGTAGTATACTGTGCAGTTTTCCTAATCTACCTTTAGTACTATGTTGGAGAATATCCATTAGTTTTATCTAGAGGAGAGAAAAGGCTCTCATTAAACATAATATCTTTTTTATTATTATTTCATTTTTGATGATGTTTCCGAAGTTACTTAAGGAGGGAAGGGTTGAGCATTAGGGGAAAGTGGGTGAAACCATTGTTCCCCAATTTTCCTTTTCTTCCTCTATTTGGCGGAAGTGGGGGAGAATTGGGCAAAACCACACCCAGACTCCCAACTCCCTCAGTACCTGGGGATGGGATTGGGAATGAGCACCTGATATCATCCCTGGATCCCCAATGTGGAGCAGGCTCCAAGGATTCTACTCAAATGGTTTTGATTTTCTGAAATGGTGTCAGTCTCCCAAATCCAAGGATGGGGAAATCCTTCCAAGGTCCATTGGCTGATATAGTCCACCTTAGAGTCTCCATTCACCCAGATGTTTGCTGTCAATGCTTGGCTGGAGTAGTTGACCAATTTGTTTTACCCTCCATTCTCTGCTGTGATACCAGATGTCCTCCGCAAACCACAGTGGGCTGCCATATCTTCCAAGTGCATCTGTGCCTGTGTCCACTGCTTTGTCTTACCCTCTGAGGAGTCCCAGTTCTGACACATGTACTCCATGGTCAGACAGCAGAGCCTGCAGTTCTCCCCATGATTGGAGTTCTGAGTCCAGTGGTTCAGTTGTGGGGGATCCCCAAAGAAACCCTATCTAAGGTGATCCAAGACCTGACTCTTATATGTGCTTACCAGTACAGAGTCCAGCTCAGTCTGTCACCCACATCCTGTGCAGGTACAGTAGTTACAATTGCTGGATCACACCCATTCTGGTTCTTAATGTTGAGTACTACAGTACAAATAAATACACCTGGTCCATACCCAGACTCAGCTCTCACATGTTTCAGCTGGTGCCGAGACCCAGCTCAGCCCATCCAGCACCCACTCTGGCTCTTACAAGCACCAGTGGGTGCTGGAGTTCATTCTAGTCTCCCGTGTCCCAGACCTAGTCCACACCTATGGCGAGAGACACTGCTGTGATATCCATCCCATATCACTGCCCCCATTCAGGCTCTGATGCCCATCAGTGGGAACCACAACCCGTCCAGGATATCGTTTTAGCTTCCAACCAGACCTGTTCCCAGCCACGGTCTTATATATGGCACTGATTGCTCTGAGCCAGTTCAGCATAGCTCATCCCACATCTTGGCCTTTGTGATTGGATGCTGCAGCCTGGCCTGACCTGTCCCAACCCTCCCCCAATTCCAACTCTTGCTGGTGGATGCTGCATCCTAGCCCAACCAAGTTTGTTCCCATCCGTGGCTCATGCAAACTGGTAGGTGTGATAGCCTAGTCTTGCACACACTATTTTGGCTCCTGCACATGCCAATGAGTTAAGATTTGGCCCAGCCCTGCCCTCCCCTCTTCCCCCAAACCAGCCCACACCTGCCAATAAGTGGAGGTATCTTGCCCAGCCGGACCAACACCCAGACCTGAATCATATGCTCATCCATGAGAGCTATGGCTCACTAGGCCCACTCCCAGTGTGCCAGTGGGTGTTAAGCCCTTACCTGGCATAGTCTGCCCCTCTGTCTTGGCTGTTGTATGGAGCTGGTGGATGTTGCAGCCTGACTAGGGCTTGTCCCACACCCTGTTCTGTTGTGGGTTCTGCAGCCTAGACCAGCCTGGCCTGTTCCCAACCCCAGTTACATGAGTGTCAGAGGGTTACATGGTCATGCCTAGCTCAGCCTGTCACTACCCTCAGCTCTTGAGCAAACCAGCATACATTGCAGTTCCACAGGGGTGAGCCCATGTATCTCCCACAGAATCTTCCCCCAGACTTGCTTTTCTCATAAACTGGGAAGTGTCATGGCCCAGCCTAACATAATCCATCTCCTGTTCTGACTCTGGTTGGTACTGTGATCCAGCCCTGCCACGTAACATCCATATGTGTTTAGAAACCATCCTCATTCTTCCCAGAAGATGCTTAGAATCCTATGGTACAGGGGTCAGTACGGTAGCCTAGCCCTTGCCTTGCACACACCAAGATCCTGTATGGGCACCGGTTCATGTCCCTAGGCCCTGCTTCCCATCCAGCTCCCTGCTTGTGGCCTGGGAAAGCAGTTAAGGATAGCCCAAAGTCTTGGGACTCTGCACCTGTGTAGAAGACCTGGAAGAGGTCTAAGGGAGGAAAAGAGGGAGTGTTCAGGTAGTCCCTTCACTTAGTAATGACATTGTGATTGGATGAAAGGCACACCTAACTCTGTTGACCTTCCAGTCATATCATAGTTCACATTCTATATACAGTGTTGGAAGTCACACCCTAAACCAGAGCAGACAAGCTCTAGGTCATGGCCACCAGGTAGCAGGCGGAGACTGGGGATGATTTCCCACACCCACTGGCCTTATAAGACCCACAAAATCATTTGGTGTTAGTCGGAATTCGATAAATCTATAGCAGAGGCTAATTTTTAAGTTAATACTTTTGTTTGGGGTGTGAATCATATTACAAATATCCAAATAGCTGTTAGCAGAAAGGAAGCTGCCTACCACTGTTGTTAAAGAAAACAGACAGCTGTGCACTGAAATGCAGATGATGATGGAAGTCAACCCACTATGCACTGCCTTCTTCCAGTTACCCATAAAATACATCTGAAACATGGGTTTTCATATGTCATGTTTTCAGCTTATTGTACTTGTTTATGTTACTTTTCTCTTTATGGTTGGTTTTTTTCCCCCCTCACTGATTTATCTGGATTAATTTTACAACTGCTGGGCTATGTGTTTCATCTTCACATCACTTTGAGTAATAGAGGCATAAGTTGTGTAAAGACTTTGAGAGCATTCTGGTTTGTATATTTTTGTTTTTGCTTTTTCAAGTTTGACTCTAAATATACATTATCATGATGCTATCTTTCTGTGTGTGTAAGGTACTGTAAAAACGCTGCAACCTCCTTAGTGAAGTCCTATTTGTACATCTTGGATTTTTGCAAAAGTTAAAAACTTGAGGGGGCTGGCACTATGGCTTGGTGTGTTAAGTTTCTGTCTGCAATGTTGGCATCCCAGTTGAATGCCTGTTTGAGTGCCGGTGACTCACTTTCAATCCAGTTCCCTGCTAATATGCCAGGGAAACCAGCAGAGGATGGCCCAAGTGCTTAGGCCGGTGCATTCATATGGAAGAGCCAGAAGAAGCTCCTGGTTTCTGACTTCTAGAAGTCCAGCTATGGGTCATTGCAACCATTTGAGGGGTAAACCAGGAGATGGAAGATCAGTCTCTCTCTTCCTTTCTCTTCCTGTATCTCTGTAAATCTTTCAATTACATAAACAAAATCTTTTAAAAAAATAATAAAATTTCTGCATGTCTCACTTCTTTGGATGACTGAATATATTATAGTGACCCAGCCTCGTGAAAAACTGGCTTGTCTCATCACATTTCAGATGACTACAGTTTCAAAGCTGCATAACTATAGTGATGTGCATTTATACATTGTCACTTTGGATATATTCCTTTATTGGTAAAGTTAGTATGTTCATAACTTGTGTTTATGCCTGAAAAATATGTATTTATTGATTATTTTATTATGTAAAGTGGCCCAGGAAATGTTCCATGATGTGTTTCTCTTTATGTAAACTTACTCCTTCAAAAGTTTAAATAAATGTCCTCTGGACAATTTAAAAATGACTTTGTTTGGGGACAGTGTTACAGTGCAGCAGGATGAACTACCATTGGCACCCCCACCCACCTTTCAGTGGCTGGATTTGAATCCTTCCTTTTCTGCCAAAGCAGCTTCCTGGTGATGCCCTTGAAGAGCAGCACTTCATGCCTTAGCAGGAAGTTGGCTCAGAAGTGGAGCAGCCAGGACTGAAACTATCCTCTGATATAGGATAGTGGTGGCACAAGTGGTGCTGTAACCGATTACAACATAACACTTTCCTGGTTTACAGTATCTCAATATCCTTCCCCTTCTGTTTTACTTACTAGTGTTTCCTTCAGGCTTCTGTGGTGTCACTGTGCCTCCTCACATAAAGGAGCCTTTTTTTTTTGGTTAAAGATTTTAAGCTGTTCTCTCTGTGGTAATTGCTTTTCTACATTATTTTTTGTGGCATTCATGATAATCACATTAGAACAGCTTTGTTTTTCCATTTCATTTATTTGTATTCAAAAGAAGACGATAAAGAACAAGGTGTTTATCATAATCTAAGTACTTTCCTCAGCTCTCTTTTCCAGTTCATTCATTTTTATCTTCAGCTGCTACATCATGTGTTATTTAATCCTGTCATTTGGTTGTTTCCTTTTATCTTTTTAAATTTTACTTTTTAAAGGTTTATTTATTGATTTTAATTGGAAAGGCAGATTACAGAGAGAAGGAGATACAGACAGAAAGATCTTACTTCCACTGGCTCACTCCCCAAG